TGAAAGGGAGAGGGCTCTATTCACATGTGGCCTCTGCCCAGCAGTTCTGGCAGAAAGGGAGGAAGAATGGGCCAGAGGCCATACTGCCTGTGAAGCTGGGGGATAGGAGGCAGGCAGCCCAAGGTCACCCTGCCCAACAGCGCCAGAGTCAGAGAGAAACCCAGGCTACTTGGTCTCCCGTCTGGCTGTGTGGTCAGAATCCTGTGGTCTCAGCAGCCTGCCAGGCATGGAAAATTGCAGTTGACCCCCACTCCCAGCATCTTGGAATAGCCCAGAATACCCATCAAGAGTTGGCCTGACATGAGATTAAGGCCCTGTACCTTATCCTAACAGAGAGAGAAGTGGCAGAAAGCCCTGGAGGACGATGGTCCAGGGCCCATGAGTTTTGTTTTGTGCTGTTTCTCGATGGGGGATCTATTTCTGTCTTTCTGGCCTTACCCACTGAGGGGGGCGGGGTCCCCAAGTTTTAAGCATCTGCTGGTATCCTTCCCTAAGGAAGAGGACAGTGAGGCATGGGATGAAAAAGACTTCAGGTCTCTGCAGAGCTTGGAAAGGGAGCCAGAAAGGGGGGGCGGGAATGCCTGCCTGCTCAGTGAGGTTCCAGCCCCACTTCCTTGAGGACCTTCTTGTAGTGGGACCCGGAGCCCATGCATGCTGGCACTGTGCTGGCACTGGCTGTATGGACAGACAGAAGTGTAAGCCCATGGCTCTGCCCTAGTGCCCCAAGACTACCTGGCACAGAAAGCACTGGTGCCTCAGGAAAAAAAGGCAGTGCTCACATACACAGGGAGCCGTAGGCAGGACACAAAGGCCACTGGAACTGGGACTTAGGAAGCAGACAGGGCTCCGAAGGGGATGAAGGGACAAGATCCCTTAATGTCAGGCTGAGGGATCATCAGGGCAGTGGGGACCTAATGACAGAGTTTGAGCAGCCCAGTGGCCATGGCTGGGTTTAGGGACCAAGAACTCAGGCAGCAAAATGCAAGAGGGGTGACAACCACGCTGAGATCCAGGCCTGAGACCTCTGACTTCCTCCTGCTGGACACTCTTCTCCTTGCCTCCCCAGCTCGTGGCAAACCAGCCCCTGCAGCTCCAGGGTGCACACACAGCCCCCTTACCCCCATTCTCAGGCTTGCACCCTGCTGGAGATCTCTGGCTCCTGCTGCACTCCCAGCGCCCCCACCCTGTCCCCTGCTGGGGTTCTGTCCAGCCCATCGCTCCCTGAAAGAACTGAGGTTAGCCATCTCTGGTAAACTGAGCATAACAGCTCCGCTGGGGTCACCCCAGCTTCCGCAGGGAAGATCAACCCACCCATAGAAGGAGGTCAGCTTGCTTCCATCTCCCTCCTAGCCCCAGGTCCATACTATTCTAGAGTCCATTCTTTATCTTATTCTTTCAACCTTGATAGAGCTCCCTGCTTCCTGGCTGGGCGAGTTAGACCCTGGTTAGAGACCTCCAGCTCTCCTGACACCTTGGGCAGGCTCCTAGGGACCGGCCTATCTGGGGAAAAGCTGAGCACCACGCATAGAGGTGTCTTCCACCACGGCAGAGCTTATTGCCTTCTCCACGGAGGCCCTCTATGTCCTGTCCGCGGCTCACCCATCAGCGTGGGGCCATCGAAGCACCCCTCACCCCATATCGATTGGAGAAATGTGTCCCAGGTCTGCTGCTGACACTCTGGGAGGGAACAGAGGTCTGAGCTTCTTCCTCCTCTTCCCAGCAGCTCTGGCCCTCCCCCTCGGTCGGCGCCCCTTGCCTCCTGGAGCGTCTCCAGCTTGCAGAAGGCTCGTTGCAGCCTCCTCGCGTCTGGTCTGTGTTCCCACTGGGGGAGGGGGTTGGTGCTGCTCAGAGACCTTCTGTCCCCCACCCGTACCATCGCTGTCCCACTGCCAACTCTCGCCAACCCGCGCCCCTCCCTCTCCCACCCCTTTACCGCTGAGCCCCGGGCGAGGCTGGGGAGCAGAAGCAACAGATTGCAGACCGCGAGAGCGTGGAGCCCGCTCCCTCCGCGCGCCGCCCGAGGCCCGGCCCGCGCCCGCTGCCCAGACCCCCGCCCTCGGGCTCGCTAAGCCGGCCATTTAGATGCAGCTCACAGGACCGCGGGCGGCGGGCGGCGGGCGGCGGGCGGCGGGCGGGCAGCCGCGGCTCCCGGCCACTGTCATTCCACTTCCCTTCCCGAGGATCGACGCAGGAAGCCAGACAGCGGGCGACGCGGCCCCGCACTGGCCTGCGTGCCAGGGCCGGGAGGACGCGATACCAACAGCCCCCCGCCCAGAGGCCAGCTGCAAGTGACACGGCGGGTGGGGCGTCCCGGGCGCGATCTAGCAGATCTCCCTAGATTTCTGTGGGCAGACACGCCCCCACATTCTGGGGTTTGGACCCTTCTTTCCAACCCCAGAAGATTGGAACGACCTCCTCCCCCCACCCTGTTCTGGGGCCCGGCTCGTTCCCCTCGGCGGGCTCCAGCCTCAGCTCCCACTGGAGGGCTCAAGGGCCCGGGTAACCGGAGCCGCAGGGAGAGCTGGGAGCCCGCGGCAGAGTCCAGAAGGGGTAGGGATGGGGGTTCTCTTTTCTGCGGTCCTCCCTGTGCCCCCTCCAGGGGCGCCCACCGCATCTTCACCCCGGAGTCTGCGCCGCGACACTTACCGTGGGCGAGCAGCGCCGAGAGGCAGAGCAGAGCGGCGCCACCGCGGCCCGACATCTCTGGGGCCATGGTGAGGTGGCGCGGGAGGGGTCCGAGGGGGCAACAGTCGACGATTTGGCTCCAGGCTAGGCTTGGTCACATCCAGCTCGGCGTGGCCGTGGCGCCCAGCTGTCTCGGCAGAAGCTTCGGGGCCCAGGGAGCGCAATTCGGGGACACTTCGTGGGGAGGGGGCGTCCCGGGCGCCGCGGGCTACACCCTCAGAGCTGGTGGGGGCGCAGCTCCGGGCGGGAGGAGCCTCCACCTCCCTGGGCTGGTGCCCCCTGCAGGAGCTCTGAGGCGAGGGGGGAGCTGCACGTGCGGTCCCCAGGCCCAGTGGCCGCTGGCGTCCCGGGAGCTGCCTAAAGCTAAGTGCGGGATCGTCTGGCTCCGCGGCCCAGCTCGAATCCGAACTCGCTCAGGGGTGCAGGTTTCCAACTCAAACCCTAATTTCTGTGGTTTCGGCGGTAACCCCACACAGAGAGCGCAGCTTTCCTTCTCCAAGAGCCCTGCAGCAGCCCCGACATAAAAATCCCAGGTCAGGTGCAAATGAATGATTTCTTTCGCAAAGACAGAGAAATTCCAGGCAACTTTAATCCATCCGGAGAAGGAAAAGTTTCCGTGCAGTGCTGAGAAGGGAGAGGCGGGTCGCCACCACCTTAGGCGACGCCCGGTTGGAAAGCTCGAGGTGGGCGTCCAGATGTCTGTCCCCTCGAAGAGCTCGCTCTTGGACTCCAGCGCGCTCCCTCGTCTCTATCAGGGCCCGCGCTCAGCACAGGCCGGCTCCGCGCAGCCTGGCCCGGCAGCAGCTCCGCGGCTGGCGCGAGGGTGGCGAGGCGGGAACCGGTTGCCCCATGGAGACAGGGGTTGGAGAAATGAGGGAGCGGGAAATCCAGCTACTACGCCCCGACCCGGGCCCGTCCTGCTCGAAGCGTGGACTCCAGCCTCCAACCCATCAACGCTGCAGGACGGCGAGGGGCTCGGCCAGCGACAGCTCCGGAGCCCCCCTCTCTTCTCTCAGGTCTCGCCTTCTCAGCAGGGGGGCACGCTGCCCAGCCTCACTCCTCGCCTTCCCTGGGGGGACCTGCACAAACCTTGAACTTTTCCGGGGTTCAGCGTCTCCGACGCCTCCTCCTCCCTGCGCCCCCGCCCTGCCCCTGGACGCCGGCTCCTCCACCGGCTCGGTGGGTGCGGCCAGGCATCTGCTCTTGCTCTCTCGGAGTCAGTTTGGGCCAGCGGATCGCAGGGCCAGTCCGGGCTGCGGGTGGCGAGAGGCGGGCGAGCAGCCCGGGGCCACGGCACCCAGCACCTGCGCAGCCCCCGGCTGGGGAGGCTGCAGCTGGTGCCTACCGGGCCGAGTGGAGAGGAGATGCCGGTAGGGGGGCCGGCTCCCCATGAACGTGTGTGGGGGTAGAAAAATCGAGGAGCAAAAAGGAAGAGGAGGCGTGGCGGGGGGGGGCACAGTTGCACGAAGCAGTCGCCGCCGCCGCCGCCGCCTCCTCGGCGCTCGCGCCGGCTGCTCCGCCGTAAATGACTCGAGAGAGACACACACTCGCGTTCGCAGCCTTCCTCTCGGGTCCAGGATTCAGCGCCCACCAGGGCAGGAGCGGGCGCCGAGCTTGGCGCGCTCGTCCCCCTCCCCTCCCCGATTCCCCGTGGTCACGTGGCCCCAGAGCGCGCAGCCCACGGCTCGCGCGCCACGGAGACTCCCCCCGCCTCCAGCTCCCCCTAGTCTGTCCACGTGTCCATTCCGCATTCCCGGCCTGGGGGCGCGCGCGGCTCCTTAACGAGACTCGGGCAGGGGCCGACCTCGCGATTCAGTTCTCCTCTGTTTTACGTTTTATTTTTCCTTCCTAATGCAAGCTAGCGCTGGGATCCAGTGGGGCTTGTGGCCGCTGCGTTTCTCCCGGGTAGATGCCACTGCAGTCTCCGATGTTCCCTTTCAAAGGATGCAAGCTCCCCGCCGGCGCCGGAGGTGTTCTGCAGCCGTTCTGCCAGAGGCTCGGGTAGGGGGCACCCCACCCCCACCCCCAGAGTCTGCTTGGGGCTTTCCAGGGACCCAGAGTGGGAATCAGCCTAGCTGGTGCGCCTAGCTCCTCTCAGGTCCCGCCGTGTGGGAGCTCTCTGGTTCTGCGTCTTCCTGCGGTGCACGGAGGAGCGGAGGAGAGGAAGGCACAGCCTGGGGCAGACCCAGCCGGCCAGCCGTAGAGGGGTCGGAGAGGACGGGATGCCTGCCTACAGGTTGCTTTGCAAGGCTTTGCTTGGGGTGGGGGTGGGGGTGTGTGTGAAAGGCCCTTCTTGCACATTCACCCAGGCACCTGCTGACAAGGGAGAGGGGGCGGCTGGGGTGTCGGTTCGTTCCCATCACCAGGCCTCTTCCCTTACAATACAACCCAGATCAGACCGGACAAGTCAACTGTCTATCAGTCTTTGGATCCATGGCGGTGATTTTACAGCATCAGGTATCATGCCTCAATTCCCAGAGGTCTGGTTTGCGCCCAGCTCTACACTTGGAAGCACGAGTCTTCAATACTGTTGGACGTAACCCATCTTGGGAGGGGACATGGGTCTTTAGGCTCACCCCTCCACACTTACCCATGCAGCCAGATTGACAGTGGGACCAGGTAGCCATGAGTGATGCTGGACCCGTGCTCAACCCTCAGGCCCTGTCTGCCTGACTCCCTCCTAGCCCCCTTGCCACTGTGAGTTTCCCTTTCCTCCAGAGAAATGGCATCTTGTTTATGGAAAACGGACTTGGATCGCTCTTAAGATCCCCCCTCCACCCTGGCTGCTGGCTGTGTCCCTGCTTCAGCTTGGCACTGGGACCCAGGAGACTGCTCTCGCCCCTCCCCAACCCCACATCTGCCTGGAACCGGAGGTGTGGCCTGAGGAAACTGGCTGGGCTTTTGCAGGTCTTGGGGATAGGAGGTGCTGGAGTAGTCAGAGATGATTCTCATTAGGCCTGTAATGCCTGGTGGCAATTAATGTCACCCAAGGGCTTATTACCCATCCCACTGAGAGGCAAACCAGCAATCAGGCTGTGTGTGGGAGAAGGGGAAAGGAGCAACCTCCTGAGGCAGGGAGGGCTCTAGAAGGGGGCAGGAATTGGGGAGTGGTCCTTTTATCCCTGCCCACTTGCCTCATTGGAAGAGACCCAAAACTGAGGTTGGTCGGAAAGAAGGTAGAAAGCAAGGTTGTTTCTTCAGTGATACTGACCAAAGATGTTCATCTTCACAGTACTTCAAAGCTGCCCAGGAGCCTGAAGGTCCTCGGCTTCAGCCCGTTCCCCTGGCCATCTCTGAAAACTGGCAGGGTCTTCTCTGGTTAGGTCGTCCAGTGACTCAGACACGGGCTTCTCTCTGCCCTGACTTCATTTCTCTTCCTTCCTCCCTTCCTTTTATACCAGCACTGAGTATCTCCAGCATCACAGGCATTATTGGCCCAACAGTGAGCAAGAGAGAAGTACCCCTTGCCTCATGAATTCCCACTCTAGAGGAGAAGGCAGAACACAGAGCTTCTACCCAGAGATGGCTATGACTCCTGGTGTTGCATGCTTTTGCTCATCTTAAGAAGACCTGTGTCAGGAAGGGCAAGGGAACCGTGATTTCTGCCCTGCTCTTCCTGTACCTGCCGTGTGGACCTGCCCTTCATGGACTGGGGCCCCCTGCTGGGTCAGTGTCTGATCACCCTCTGATCCTCCAAGTGCCAGATTTTCCACCTCCCTGATGCCAACAGCTCTCCTGAGGAGTAAATACCCAAACAACCCCAACTCCAGGGCCTGTAACCCTTGGCAGTACACATTCCAGGGACCAGGGAGAATGCATTTGGCATGCGGAAAACACAGCCACGCAGTATTCCAGTCCCAGTATACCTCTGCCTTTCCTACCACGCAGTGGGCTGCCCTTAACCTCACCCCTGAGTCCTAGGCAAGGGGAGGACAGTGAAGCAATGTCAGGTAGAGCCAAGGCTGGAGAGAAGAGCTGGCCTGTGTGCATGTTTCTGTCCCAGTGAGCACATGACCAACTCAAGGTGGTATTATCTCCTCTCCAGGTGGGGGCTGTGTGTCTTTTTGGGTAAAGGGTTGGCAATGGAGCTGTCTCAGTTTCCAGCTCCTAGGTGATGTTTGGAGCAGCCTTAGCCTCCTGCCAAATAGAATGGCAGTGAGTGAGTGCTATATCAGGCCCCAGTGACACTTGGATGCACACCAAGAACCCACATAGAAACAAGCACCCCTTTCTCCCTGACCAGCCCAGGGGACACCTGCCCTTTAGTATGTCCCTGGTTTTTAGGAAGCCTGCCAGCAGCAGAAGACAGGTGTCATGAAGAGGACATTCCTGGGATCGCCCCAGATTCCTAGTCTGTCTAGGAAATCCAGGAGGGCTCTAGATTTCCTAAGCTAGCCTTCTCACTTTACAGCCACAAAAAATTTGAGGCCTGTTAATTCAGTCATTTTATTAAATACTGTGAATTTTTATTGAGCTCTAATTATGTGTGAAGTGTAGTGTGAGGTACTAGAATGCACAGGTTGAACGAGACAGATGAGACCCAGATGGCAGAAGCTCAAGAGCTTCCACAAAGCCATATTGAGAACCTAGTAACACTAATAGCTAACATTAATGAGTATTTTTCTGTGCCAGGCACTGTGCTAGGCATTTTGCATACATTATTGGGATCCTCACCACAACCCTGTTAGTAGGTATTGTAATTATCACCATTTCTGATTGAGAAAATGGAAACTCAGACAAGGTAGGTTTCTTGCTTAGGGTCAGCTAGAAAGTAGCAGCACCGTAACTCAGAATAACATATATGTGATTCCAGAGCTCAGTTATGTAACCCACTTAAGCACTTCTACCATGATATGTAAAGGCTCAGGATTACGTAGATGACAACACTACCATCTCTTGCTGGACATGATTCTGGGCTCTGGGCATAAACGGCCCATTCAACCTAGGGAAGGTGGTGCAGCACAGGAGGCCAGCACAGGTCTCCAGCAGCAGGGAGCCTCTGAGACCACACGGTAGTGTTCTCCCCTGCGGCTCTCTCTTGAGGGACTCAGTCTCTTACCTCCTCTTCCCCAGCACCCAGATGCATACCTATATGTGGTTAGATCCATGTCCAGTTTACATGGCTGTGTACACCCATGGCTGTCATAACCATTACCAGCCTCTGGCCCACAGCTGGATCTCTGTGTCTCCCTCTACAGGTTAAACTCCCAGCTCAGATTCCAGGACCCTACTTTATCCACAAGTAAGGAGAATGTCAGTGGAAGGCCAGCTTGTGGATTTCCCAGGTAGAGACCTGGCTCTAGTTCCTGTAAGGCAAGGTGACTGGACTAGTCTGGGCAGGCTGCCATAACAGCCCACCACAGACTGGGTGACTTAAACAATGAGAGTTTACTTCCCACAGTTCTGGAGGCTGAAAGTCCACGATCAAGGTGTCAGCAGGGCTGATTTCCCCAAGGCCTCTTTCCTTGGCTGCCAGGTGGTTGCCCTCCTGCTGTGTGTTCGCAGAGTCATTTCTCTGAGCTCATGAATTCCTGGTGTCTCTTCCTCTTTTCATAAGGACACCAGTTGTAATGGATTAGGGTCCCATGCTGTTGGCCCCATCTCAATGCAATGACCTCTTTAAAGACATTATTTCAAATATGCTTAACATGCTGAGTTACTTACTGAATATTGGGACTTCAACATATCAATTTTACGGGGACATAATTTAGCACATAACAGTGACTATAATTTACCATCCAAAACTGGGATTTTTTTTGAGAGTAGAAAGGGCTGCTGTTCATAATTACCTTGGAACAGCTGCCTTAAGTGAGTACACTGGAACATACGGCCACCTGAAATTCATATCCTGTCACTCACTCTGCAGCCCTACTTTAAACCACCTCATCTATCTCAAGACCTGAGCACATTACCTTCTGCTGCTCAGTTTCTCTCTGCATCCTGAGCACCTAGTCACCACTGCACAGTTTGTCCCCTGCCCTCATCCCCACCAGGTTCTCAGAGATGGCAGAGGCAGGAGGGCAGACCCGTGGGGCTGTGTTGCATGGTAGCCATGAGTGCTGTCCAGAGGAAAACATGAGGCCAGGGGCTTCTGGTCAGCCTAGATCACGGAAGTGGCAGGACAGGGAAGGCTTCCTGGAGGAGGTGATTTCTGAGCTACACTGAAGGAGGGACAAGTGTAGGCCTGGGACGTGACAAGAAGAGGGAGTGGAGACTAGGCAGAGTTGCTTTCCATAAGAGGGCTGGGTGTGCCAGGTACTATGGATGTGTCCTCCTAGCTGGGGCCCTGAGAGCTGGGGTGGAGCTAGAGAAGGAGGCTAGAGAGGCCAGCAGGCCACTGTCCCCTGAACAGAGTCCCCCCCGCCAGGTCTATGCCTGTGATGACATGCACACTGGGGTTACTGCACTTATTCATGCAGAGCTTCACATGCAAGAGCCAAAGACACTAGGAAGCTTATAAAGCATCTTGCCAGTCATGCATATACAACACATGTCCATGTGTACACACACACACACACACACACACACACACACACACACACACACACACACACACACCCTGACTGAAAAATGAGTTCCCTCTGAACTACGTGGTTAGAGATCTTTTTGCTTTCTTTTCCCTAGAATCTCCGCCTTTGGTTCCCCTTCAGACAGCACACTCCTGGTCCTTCCGGCCTTGTGCCCATGTCCTCTGACTCTAGCTCTCTCCTCTTCCCTCCTCCTTCTGGCACACATGGACAGTAAGCTGGGACCACCCCGGGCTCCCAGCCAAGGGAGGATTTGGACTCTGGCCATACAGGCTGGACGCCACTCTTCCATTTTCCTCCCCACCCCCATGCCTCCCTTAATTCCAGGACAAAGCACTGCCCAAGGCAGAGTGGGGGTGGGGTGGGGAGACTATTTCTGCCCCAGCCTGGCAGTAGCTTAGTGGCAGTAAACTTCATATTACTGTAACTTGCTCCATTTGGCTGCCAAGTGCAGGGGTAAGAAGAAGAAGGGCTGGGGCTTGCTGCCAAGACCCTCCTGAAATAGGGCCTGGGACCCCACAGAGCTGTGGTACCTCTCTGCCTGGGTCTTGGGGTTGGCATCACCCAGAATTCCTGCATTGAGTGGACAGGGACAGTCTGGGCTGATGGGAAAGCTGAGGGAGGAATCAGGCACAGTGAGGACTGGGAGGAGGCCGGGCCTGCTGAAGAGAAGCCCTCTCACTGCAGACTGTATGTCTAGACAGCCATTAGAGGCCATCCAGGCAATGCACGAACAATGGACACTTTGCTGCCTTTCACACAAAGGCTCATTTTGGAACTAGAGTCAAAACCCAATTTCTCCTTCCTGCTCCTCTAAGATGGAATTCTTGCTTCAGGTTCCCTCTTCACCTTGCAAATGTAATTTGCAGATTCCTATGTCTTATTCTTGCTGTAAAACCATCTGTGTCTCCCCACTCCCTATGGGACTGATTCTAGATGCCTGGATTTGCTTTTAGGGCTTAACACACCCCGTTCCAGCCCACCCGTCCTTTGTCCTTTGAGCCACTCTCCTTCTGTGAGCTGCGACTTTCTCTGCCGAGGGGTGCCCTTTTGCTATGCAGGAAGACCTGTTCCTCCCTCTCCAACTCTTCGTGGAGGTTTTTCTGCGAAGCCTGGTTCACTACCTCAGATGGTATTCATCACTGTCCGCCTCATGGTTAGAATTCACCCCAGCGCTGTCTTTGTTTCCTCTACTCACTTATAAAATCCTTCAGGATGAAGACTGTGTTTTGTTCATCTCTAAATCTTCCACAATGTTGAACACAGTTCCATTCATGGAGTAGTTTCCTAAATGTTTACTGTGCCAGTGAATGGATGGATGGATGGATGAATGATCAAATGAATGGAAAAGGAAGCAGTAATTTGGATGCCTCTTTCCTGAACTCTGGGTATTTTCTATCCATCAGCCTTTGAAACTTCACTATAATTGGAAGTGGCGTGGAAATATCATCTCCATTTAGAGAAGAGGAAGCTGAGGTTCAGAGAAGCAAAGTAACTTGCTCAAGGTTACACAGCTACAAAGTGGCTGAGCTGAGATTCCATCCAAGACTGTCGGCTCCAAAAGCCTGTAGTCAGTTCACCCGCGAAGAGTGCGTCCCATTACACCTTCTGCAGCTGGTCGTTCTATGGCTTCTCATTCACACTGAAACTCCATCAGCAGAAGATGGTCACCTGCAGTAGGGTTTCCTCACTCGAGGCCTCACCTCTCCTCAGGCCAAGGGAAGCAATAAGTGTCCTGGGCTGGCAGAACAGAGAAGAGGCACCAGCTTTGGTCCCATGGGACCCCTGTTTCTACCTCTTACCACTTGTCTCTCAGGTGGTTGCTGGGGCCTGGCTAGTGGGTGCTTCTGAACCCACACCCTGGAGCCAGACTGCTTTCTGCCTGGTGCTCTGCGCCTGCTTGCTTATTCTCCTCTCAGACACAGACCCCAAAGGCTTTGATTTCTTTCCCTGCAGCGTCACTGGGGTGTCTTACTCTGTCCTGGACAGGCCCCGAGACACTCTGGACCTCCCATGTAAGGCAGAAAGCAAAATTGGGCAGGGAAAAGAGCTCCAAGGCAAGCCAAATCAAAGGGACTTTTGTGGTGACAAATGCTTAATAATAACTTTACAAATTCAGTTGAATTACTATGAATAACAACCCTCTTTTTTCTTTTCTCCTTTTTTCCTTTTTTTTTTTTTTGTATGGATACCGCTCCCATCTCCCAGAGCGCGTGCAGCTACAACCCTGAAATCCACCCAAAAGAATCATTACTGGGAAAACAAACTAAAAATAACCCCAGGGAAGCAGTGCCAGCTCAGAAGCAGCTCCTGGGAGGTGGGGGCTTCCGAGGCAGTATTGCTCTTGCCCCTGGGGTAACAGAGGCCAATTAAAAAATCTGGTGTGGCTGTGGGAATGCCCGGCCCTCTATCATCAGGCCATTGCCAGTCCGGGCTCCAGGGCATTGCCAGTGCCCTTCCTGGACATCTGGACCCTGTGCCATTTTCTGGGGGCTTAAGGCGGGGTGTGGCAGGTTAGGCCCCACTCCTGACCCCAGTGGTTGCTTTGTTTACTACCCCTTTTCTTCTTGAGGACCAGAGAAGCTATCTCCCTGCTTCTTCCTGTGAGTGGGCCTGACCTAGAGTCTGCCCCCCTTCGCGAAGGGCTCCATGCACCAGATGCTCTCCTTGGCTTTTCTTTCTCCTCAAGGCAAGTCCTATTTTCCAGGTACAGAAAGAAGCTCAAAGAGGGGGAGTCACTGGTTTGAGGACAAACAGGAATAAAAGCACGTGGTTGGATTTGGACTCAGGTCCTGTTAGTTCCTAGGGTTTCTCTAGGAAGCACTGTGTGGAGGGGCTCAGCTTCCCCAGGCCCTGCATGGTATGGGTACAGGAGGCAGAAGTCAAGATGTCTCTGTGCTCAAGGAGGGGCTGAATGTTATCTGTGTCTCTCAGCTCTGGTACTCCACAAGAGAGGGCTATGTCTCCCCATCAGACAGGCCGTCCCCAAGGATGGGACTCTCTACTCAGTCTGGGACATGGCTAGCCAAAGCTGTCTCCCCCAGCAGTCCCAAGGCTGCCTCATGGAAGGCTGCATCCTCACCCACCAGGCAAGGTCCCCTTCACCCCACTTGGGGCTGTCACCCTCATCTGACCAAGTGCCAGTGGCCCTTGTCTCCATTCCCTTCATTTTCCACCCGAGTTCTCGAGTTTCTGGCTGGCAAGTGACAGCTGACGAATGGGAAGGCAGCGGGGTAAACACAGGACTCCCCTTGGCAGGAGCCAAGGCCGCCTGTCTCCTCCTGCAGAGATGGATGCTTGTCCCGGGAAGCCTGACTGCGCTGCTTCCCCAGAGCGCTTCGGCTCCCTATGATTGAAATGTGTCCCCGTGGCACTAAGGCCGGCTCCAGGGATGGGTGGCTGCTAGTGCCCCTGCCCGGCCTGCAGGCTGCGTCAGACTGGGGAAGATAGATGACGTTATTCCAAGCCAAGATGATGCAACCAAGGTCAGAGTGAAGTGTTTAATTGGAATGTCAGGGGCCAGGCCTGGCTTTGGTGGGAGTGATTGATTCCCGAGAGGTAGCAGTCAAAGTCACACCACGGCAGGGGAGGAGCCATGGGGGAGTCTGTAAGTGACCTTGAGGGTTGGGGACCAGGGTGGTCAGAGATTTCCAGGACCTGCCTAATTTTACAGTGAGAACACCCAACAGGGTTCCATATCTGCTAGGCTATATGCCTTCTGCAAAGGGAAACCGAGGCACAACAGATGGGAGGCATTACTGGGATGAGGATGCTCCATATGTCTGTGTTCAGTTCACTCTAATATGCTATTTCTGGCTCCTCTTCCCTTCTGATTCCCTGGATTCCTCCCTGGGCTAAGCAGGGGGCAGTGGGGACAGGAGCATTGGTCCTGTGGCATAAAGAGAGCACTGCTGCCTGTGGCTTCACAGTCCTGCTCCAGCCCACTGAGGACTGGCAGGGTTTTGGCAAAATTTAGGAGCCACTGACCTCCCTCTCTGCATGGAGAGAAACTCTTCTCATAGGCTCCAGAGACTAACATGTCATGCCTGTGTGAGGAAAACCAAGGCTGAGAGCTGGACTTGCTGTCATCCACGAGTAACCTTCTTATATGTCGCAGTGGTCCTGTCCCAGGAGCCGAGGAAAAACCGAGTGTGGTAGCAGGCAGGACTCTGTCCACCTCACCCCTCATCCTCAAAAGTTTACCATAGAATGGTGCTGAACAGGGGAGGCCACAGCATAGAGACAGGAGGGGTTGCTGGGTACAAGCAGCTGAGGAGTGTGCAAACCCTCCTTGCCTGGGACAGGGCTATGTCAGGGGAAAGGACAGCCTGGGAGGTGGCCAGGGAAGGAGTGGGAGGCTGCAGGAGGAAGATGACCTGTATGGGCTCAGCATGGAATGGCACCTGCAGGGAGGGGCACATGGGGGAAGGCGGGGAGTCTGGAGCCTGGACCCGAGGGCTTGGAGGGTCACAAAGGGGACAGAGGCCTGAGTGAGGATGTGGGAATTCCTAGATGCGAGGTGGAGAGGGCCTGCTGTCTCCAAAGCTCACTGTATCACATCTCAGTTCTAGAAGGATGGATCCAAGGCATTACCTTTTTGTCATCATGAACACAGTCGCCATCGTCAGCAACATCACTATTGTCATCATCACCAATGTCACTATCATTACCACTGTCCCAGTTATTAATGCCTTCACTGCTATTATCACTGTCACAATTATCATCCTCCTCACCCTTGTTCCCAACATCACCATTATCACCATCATCACCATCACTGCCATCATTATCATCTTCAGAGGGGTCATCATGGTCACCAGTCATCAGACCTCAGCCTGCCCTCCATCCCTGCACAGTGCTTTACAATGATCCCAAAGCATCTCCACACCCTTTCTCAAATAAGACATTAACCAGAGGCTTGTGAAGCAGGTGGGCTTGCTCCAGGTGTCTCCGTTCACAGGAGAGGAGCAGAGTTCAGAGATGGTAAGATATGCCCGAGGTTAAAG